CTGCTGCTTGTAATAGTTATAAGAATCTAATCACTCACTTTATATTTTTTAGATAGTGAAGTAGAAGAATCAATTATGGAAGCTGCTTGAGTTTATCGTATAATGTCACCAAGTCAAGTGTCGTTGAATTGTAATGTCACAGTGGAACTACTCTATACTCATAATGATAGTCTCAGAACACATAGATGATACTCTGACCGTAGGAGCGAATTTGGCAGGAGATTGGCGGTCGTAGGTGTTTTTATCACTCGAATATGCTTTGACTACTCAGCCTTACTTCTACTTCAAGCTGCCTTGCAGGAAACTATTATATTATTAAAAAACGTAGCACTTGATAAATTTTTATAAATGTCATTTACAAATTATACAAATTGTAAACTGTTTATAACAATAATAATTCTTTTATAACTTAGTTGAAACTGTGTGTTTTTAATTGAAATATAATACTTAAAAAATTAAGATGTAGATTTACACGTTTACGTTTAAAAAGTAAATATTTCTACCCGAGTAAAAGGCAATAAAAATTTCCTAAGTATGTATCCAATGTTTTATAGCCTATGTCCAGTGAGTTTAATTGTTTATTTACAGAGAAGAAAGAAATTTTTGATCTTGTTCCCAGTAAGGTCAAAAACATTTATTTTCATCTTGTTTTAATTATAAATTTTTGTACACAAAGTATGATAGTTTAGCTTAACCTTCAATTTTTCCATGGGATTTATTAATTACATATTAGCAGAATTTTTTATACATTCCATCTATTGGTTTTATCATTGATAACTGCAAGTTTTTTTCCGAGCGCTTGCCACAGAGAGCTGAAGAACGAGCTCTAACTAAAAAAAGTTCAGAAAATAATCATCCAGTGATTCTGACCAATATTTAAAATACTTTTTAATCAAGCAGTTGTTCTTCGTTCGATTGTCTAATTAAGATGAGCATTTAAGACAACATAAATTTAATTTTTTTTAACACAAGTCAAAACCAATTTTTTTAAACTTATTTATTATTATTTTTTTATTTTATTTTTTTTATATCGTACATTGGTTTGATTGCCATGTCACGTACAAATTTTTTTCATTTGTTGTTGATATCTATCCAATAACGAATATATTGCTTTATAAATATTATAGTGCCAAAAGTATTTTTTAGATGTAAGCAATGAGATGATAAACCCATATTCATTGTAAGAGACGTTTTTACTTCGTCGAACATGCTAAAATGTATTATGTTGAGATTTTTTTAAGAAGTAACAAGTCAACAAAAAAATACTTGTTGCTGGATTCTAATGGTTATAGGCTGCAGTTGAAAACAAAACTTAGCAAAGTAAAGAAATTTCGGTCAGACTTTACAAACAATGCAGCGTAATATTGACTTGCTGATAAATCAGTAGTAATCGTTACGTTTGGTCAGATATTGATGTGTGACAGTTTAAAAAAAAAAAACTTTCACCTCTTGTGGAGTAAAACATTATTTTTTCGTAACAGTAAGTGAATATGGCATGAATTAGGATACTAAAATAAAATGTATCAGTAATAACACAGTGTAAGATACAATTAAACAGTAAATAGGTCTTCATTTGTTGTAGCTACTGTCACTGATTCGAGTTAAAAATTTGCCCTTAACGAAAATCCATAATTTTTGTATCCACACCTAATGCATGATAAAGAAGTTAATAACTTAATTCATACATATAAATCCGATTACAGTAGGTATGCTTGTATCGACAGTATTCCTCATAAATTCTCATACATCTTTTAGGAGTCACAAGAAAAAGGAAAAGTTTGTTATCGTCACTCCTCAAATGAAACTAAAAAACCTTTTGTCTTTTATGTGGGTGTTGGTAAACTGATAAGACTTTCCAAGAACAAAATTTACTCCGAACTACTAATGCCCAAGTGAAATATGTGTATACCAAGAGAGTACAAAGCATAGGTTAAAGCCAGCTAGAGAGACGATGCGCATCGCATTCGCATGACTGCGAAACTCCCCCTCGTTAAGACCTTGTCGTCCTCGGAGTCAAGGAGTCGCACGTTTGCGTCTTAATTAACGCTACGTGAGCTGATTTCGTCCAGCCACTTCGTCGCCTTCTGAAATTTTCTTCTTGAGAGACGAGAGCCGTCCTAGAGCGTGTGCTGATATTGCCTCACAAGTTGGCGATAACGGCGTTGCTGATGTTTACGAGAAAATTTAATTAGTTGTTCATCGTGGTGGTTAAAAAAGATTGGAGTTTTCTTGAGTACGGATGGATAAATTGTTTCTACTAAAAAGAAGTAAACATATTTTACAACATTTAACCGTGAAAAAAAAAACTGAAGTCTTACATCATATTTTGATAGGCCACAAGGACATAAAATCCCAAACTTTCAAGCCTCGTGCCAGTCTCGTTCGTAACCGACTAACGAGCCGTGCAGAAAGAACGGAAGGAGAGCGACCGCAACTGTGAGTATACCGGGGCTCTCCTCGAAGAAAGCTCACAGCAACCACTTCGGTGGGTCACGCTTAATATTTTCCGCCCTCCCGTGAAGCCATGGCAGTTCTGATGACAAAAATGTCAATCACTTTGCTGCTTCGAAAAAAAAAAAAAAAAAAAAATTAAATCGCATGGAGTTGACCTGGTTTTACCATCTCGATCCTTTTGTACCGTTTCCATTCGCTCTCGCGTGCCCCGTCTGTCCATCAATCGCGTACATAACGCTACAAACAGCGCGAATGGATTCAAGGTGCGCTTGGCGTCGAGCGTGATCAATTTTCAAAATTTTTTTGTAGTTGTTTCCCGTGTGTTGTTTACGCTCACGCAAGCGTGCCACGGCCGGGAAAGTTGGCCCTCGCAATGCGACTCGCTGTTGTTGTTATTTATTTTCATCGCGGTGACTCATCCGACCCTGATAGCGTGGCATTACTCGGGCATTTAATTAAAAATCCAATCGTAAGTGCGTTCCTGATGATAAACAGACTTGGATGTTCTTCTGATGGGCAGTCGATTAAAATCAACGTATATTCAACTGATGAGCGTCTAGGCCAGCTTTGTATCGATTAATTTACGGCTCGAGCTGGTGAATCTCCGGCCGTTAATTACGTTACGTGAAAATTGGACGCCAGCAAGAAATTGATGCTTCGGATGAGCTTGCGATGTATCTGGGCGTTGTTGGAATCAGAGATTAGGCTTTAGGATTGTTTTAACAAATTTTGCTGCTGGGGCCCATTTTCATTCTGGATTTAAGTATACCTAATAGTATGGCAAAGTTTTTTTTGTTTGGTTGCCAGTGAAAGGCAGATCTAGTGGCATACAAATGCATGAGAAGAACGATACAAGTAGAAATTCAATCCCAGATATGAATGCAAAAAAAAATCAGTACCTGGTACTTACAGCGCACCACTTACTTACACTTTAAAAAATAAAATAAAAAATAAGAAAAAGTACAATGATGATAATTCCATTCGTTACATTGACCCACATTTTCACGACGCTTCATTTCTGGTGAAAGATATTGTCTGAAACCGACACCCCTTTAGCTCTGAGCATCACCAAGATGGACTGCAAATGAAAGTCTTGCGAGCAGCAAGTACCAAGTTACATATTTCTCCCTCTCCCCGTAGTCCTACCTCGACGATCCCTCGCGTATAACCGTAACACGTCCTTGACCAAAATTCCCTCCCGTGTTCCCCGATTGCTCCCTCGGTACATCGAGTCCTTCACCCCTTTTTCGTTTCACCACGCGCGCACCAGAGGTACATAGAACTGCTTCTCCCGCCTCGTATCGTTATTCGTCGATATATGGCACGTCGTGCTCAAGCCATTCGGCCACTGCAATAACTGCTGCTCCAGCTTTCCTATTGTTTTCGAGACAATGGGCGAATACAATCAATTATCCCGGTGCTCCGCCCCTTGCCAATTCCTACTCTCGTGCTCCCTCCTTCCGTCTGTGCGACCCTCGTGCATTTTTTGCCCGAGCCTCGCGATGCCGTGAAATCGGTCGGTATCGATTTCGCGCCTCGATCCCGGAAAAAGCATCCAAGGTGGAATTGCTGGAATGCAGTTTTTGTTAAATTATTTTTCTTTACTTCGCTGGCAGGGATTTTGAGTTAGTTTACTTACATGGCGCTTCGATGCGAGAGCCTTTTTTTTCTATTCCTCCAACCGAGCGTGCCAAATGAACTCATTCACTGAGCGCATTTCTATTTGATATGTAATTTTTTTTAAAGCAAAAGTAAAGCTCGAACTTTGGCGTCAACTTGTTTTTCATTCAAAGTTTTTGGATCAAGTGAAGTACGTAGGAGAGATGACTCGGTCTAATACGAGGGATAAACCACACGCTTGGCTTGTATATTATACCGAGAGCACAACTTTTTCAAAACGTGATATGGGCATTAAAATGCAAAACGTAACAATGCATCGTTCGTAATGTCGGGTGGATTAAAAACTTGGGGTGAAAAGGAAAAAAGTACGGTTTAATCTCTGCGGAACTGTAATCATACAAAAGGATTGGGGCTTCCTGTGGAGCAAAGCGCTAGTGGTGCTTGTTTTGGCCTGTTTTAATTGCAGATAGATTTGCTTTTGCATTTAACTTGGCTGATTGCGTTTCCTACATCTCAGGAGACTATCATACTCTTTGAAATTTTTTTTTTTTCATACCATCACGCTGGCTCGACGTTGTTGAAGTTTAATTAAAACGCGAAAAAAAAGTACCATGGATACGCGTGAATTTTCACAGCGTTGAATTTTTTTCTTCCAGAAAGAGACTTAAAAGTCCATTAGGAGCTTTTAGGTATATGTTATATGTCCCTCGGAAAAGTTTGGCCTATCTTATAAGAGCATTAAATTAAAGCATCGACAGCCAATTCATGCAAGACCCCAAAAAAACTCCCTCGTCACGGTGAACATTACCTTTCCTCCCTCCAAAAAAACTTGAAGAAAAATCAGGTCGCTTTCCTGCGTAAAATCTTTCCAGAACAAAAAAAAAGTGGAAGCAGTAAAAGTAAAAAAGAAAATAAGGGAAACTTACCGGGTATACTGGTGCCAAGGGCGACGAACAGAATGGCTGTGACGGAGTCCTTGATACCGAGGGTGCAGCCAAAGTAGGAGGCCACGTCGCCGATGATGGCCGTCACCACACCGATCCCGAAGATGCTCACTATGAAGCAGATGTACCCACCAGCGATATCTAAAAAATAAAAAAAATAACATCACACGCTTTACATTTGCACTTGCTGAGCAGCGCGTTTACGTGTATCGAATCGATTTTCACGTTAAGGGGGGAGGGGGAAAATCGGACGACTGCTTTGTCTGCATATATGCACACGGAGGCACTCGTATCCCCTAAGGGGCAACTTGACACGTGCACCTCCTCAGTTGAGATTCGTGCCTGCTGCTCTTGGAGATTACAGTACTACCATCGAGCTACGGCTCGTCCCGGGAGCTGTAATGGCTCTATTGAACACCTGATGTTTATCCTGCACATGCAGTGACTATACCCCTGGGTAGTTGTGTTTTTCACCGAAATGTAAATTATAATTTTTTTTTACAATCATACGATCTATATTAACTTAAACGTTAAATCAGCGATTGATTGATTGCACCTACGTGACTTGGATGAATTTTAACAGAGTTATTGTGCGATAAAGTAGACTAAAAATGTAGGATAGGGTTATTGGAGTTTTTTAGAACCAAGCCACGAAAAGGCTCCAATAGAAAAAATATAAAGCAGATTAATACTTTACTTCACACTCGCTCAGTGTGGAGAAAAACAATGCTAGAGGTCCTATACTGACCTCCACTCCCAGGTGGATCGGTACATTACATTCGATAGTTTTAATATTCGACTCTCGCTCCCCCGGCCGATTCGCTCCCCCCATCAAAAACGGCAGAGCCAACCTTTCCGAGATAATCTTTCAGCTTCAATAATTTTGAACCCCCTGACCCTACATAACTCCCCCTTCCTCGTCGGTCTCGTTCACCCTCGCAAATTGAACTATTCATAGCGCGTCCGTGTTATCTCGAGTTCGCCCCGTCCTTGCTTTCGAATTAGCTTTAGCAAAAAAGCTCGCACCCCCAGCCCTCGTGCGCCGATGAAGATCTCGGGGTACTCTTTTTTCCCTCCTCCTCCTCCGCTTTCGTATATCCGTAATCGGGCGAGAGACAGGATACACTATTTCACGCTCCTCGTTTCACGAAGCGTGCCTTTTTTTTGTTTTCTCGTACTTTTACTTTGATTAGTTTACGTTGTTTTTTTTGGTTACAGGTCAACAACGATACTTTCTAGACAAGCACGATGAGCGCAACAACATTTTTCACTAACCTTTACATCAAAGTTCTAAAATATCCAAGAGTCCTTGAATAATCAACGTTTGCGTGGTATGATAATTTGCGAGGGGGGGAAAAAAAAGAAAATGAAAGCACCGCATCCGAGAGAAAATGAAAGAAAGAGCTTGCCCACCGCTCGTCGACCGCGACTTTTCCTCTGGTCTTGCATTCATTTGCATTGCGATGGAAGTCACGGTAAAAGGGTAGAGATAGAGATCTGCAGGGAAGAAAAACCGCTGTGGGGTAATGGAAGAAAAAATTGGTGCAGCTGAAAAATTAAAATGTAGACTAAACGCAAGGTAATGACCGTGGTTTCTAATGCGGGGGAAAAAAATTTGCGGTGATAACTGCAGGGATACACTGTTCAATCCTACCGATGCGTTTTGTTTCTGCGAGAAAAGCTAGCACAGCTAGTACAACAACATTTTATCGATCCCGTATGTCTTGTTTTTCACAACTCACGCTGTACGTAAATTGTATCCTTAATGGTTTTTTAAGCTCCAACCTAGCGCACATTTTCTCGATGATTCTTTTTTTTTTTTTTTTTTTTTTGCGCAAAAACACGCCTTAATCTCACAACCATACATACCTACTCTATACTAATGTGGTGTGTTACTCGAGAGCAATCAATCAGCCAACCCTTGGTCATTAATTTACTTTTTTAATTTAAGTTGGTAGAAAATCACTGATTCGACGTGAAAAAGTGCTTATTTTAAAAGTCTGGAGTGCAAAATTGTTTCATTCATTCATCAAATACAGCCAAATGTTAAAAAATTTCTGATCTTTCGAGTGCAAAAATACGATATCGATGTAAAATCACTGCAATAGTATTTACTTCCAATACCCATTGCACGATAAAATCTTCGCGATGATATGATGGGTGACATCAGAAATGTGGTTAGTAGATGTAACTGCACGATGTAGAGGATTTTCCCAGAATACATATCTCACTTAAAAGCTGCAGTTCGTTCGAGGAGAAGATTAATCAATGCGAGATGGATCGATGGCCTTTCGCAAACTCGGATGAGTTTACTTTCGTTGGAGCGTCCTGACCGCAATATTACTCTCAATCGCGGTTTTGCTTCACTATAATACCAAAATGATGATATGCATATATTATTTGTAGGGTAAAGGGACACAAGGCTATTGTTTATTTTGGCGCACTTCGCGAACGGAATCCATTCAGTAGTAACACCCAAAAATGGTCAGCCTTTTAGTGCGAAGAATCAAGTAGGTGTGAACAATCAACGGTTTATGCATGTAATGAGATAATACGCTCAAGCAAAATTAAGATGTCGCAAGCACAACATGCACTGCCTTTGTTTTTTGTTCCAAGTGAACGTGACACTGTGATATACCCTATGTAAATCACACCTAGTGAGCAACGTGATTGTATACGCGCTGCAGAAATGTACACGCACCCTCGTAACAAGTGCCTTTGACGTGTACAATACACGTCAACACGTTGCGACGTGAGGGGAAATTAAGTTATGAGTAATGCCGATCGTCTGTCGTAGTGTATGTGTATTTAGTCACGCTGAAAGAAAAAGAGTTGTACATGTGCTTCGGAGGGGACTGCACCGGATGGTGTAGGGTTACACTTGCCTCCACGTGCAGGCGAAGCCCCTACGATGCGATTTATCATGGAGACCCGCTTGGCGTGCAGTTGCCTTTTTTTCTTTTTGCGTTGCATGTATGTACAGAGGCGGTAATTAGGTTTATCGTTTTAGGGGAGAGAGTCAAAGGGAGAGGCGCGGAAGTGCGACGCTCCACACAGTCGCCCTCATTGGATTTGCCGTCTATGCCGGGGAATCAGTTCGCATGAGTTGCTTCTTCGTGGTGGAAGTGTACGCGGATGTAGGTGCATGGGTGCGTGGGTGTATTGGCCCCGGCGATGAAATGAAATACCTGTGAGACGACGCGTCCGCGTCTCGAGTTTCTCGTATACACTTGGGGGCTTACCGAGGTGGGGTACGTTGCTCTACGCCGTGGGTGGGTGGAATTCCTTTAGGTGTGGATCGGCTGTCATCATTGGCATGGGATGAAATTAATTCAACTGCTGATTTTGATTTCCCTTAGAAAACCGGGGAGTTATAATTATGTTTCTAAAAAATTGTAATAAAATCGAGTGTTTTTGCAGTTGTCAAGTATTTTTAACTAATTTAATTTAGAAAATTTAATTTTTATCTGATAAAGACTATTTTTACTGAGGTTTGCATAAAGAATAAAATACACAAAAATTGTATGAATTCAGTCCAATCACATTCTCTACTTATAACATCGTCCCGAAAATATTTTTTGCTCAAAAAAAGTCTGTATTACAAAGCTTACCAAAATGTTTATTGTTATAAATTTTTTGTATATTTATTTTTTTCAGTCTGAAGAAATCAAAATCTTATCTTTAATGGTTTAATTTTTTTTTGTTGAAATTTCAAGGAAAATACCACAAGACACTCATTAGTAAAAAAAAAAAAAAAAAAAAAATATACATCAAACTATATCGAGCGTGTACAGAAGTATAACTCGTATACTCATTTACTTCCACTAATTATGACATACAAAAACTTGAATGAACGTCACAATGTCTAATCTTTTTGTAAACTTGAAAAAAAATCCCTTCCCACACAAGCTTCTTTTACACGCACTGCGCTATAGTAATTAGAATTGGTAAATGTTGCAAACCACTTTTCACACCTACAGAATCTAATTTGTCAAAAATCATCAAAAAAAGGACTATAAACTATTCACCAGCAGGCGTTTAAAAAAAAAAAAAAAACACGAACGTGCACAGCTAATAGAACACACAAATCACGCAATTCTAGCTCGGTGCTGGTCCTGAAACAAATAACCCTTGCGTTCACGCGCGTGTCTATTGTTTATACTCCACCCAGAGCTTGCAGCTCGTTCGGTTGCAGTTCAACTCGCGCTACTCAGGCAGCTTTCGAGCACAATTTCGCTCAAAATGCCTCACAAACAAACTTTCACGGTATCATCGGAAATTCTTCTCTGAGTTACGAGGTTTGCTGTAACTCCAACGAACTAGTCTTTTTTTTTCATCACTTGACTGTTGCTGTTTATTTCAATAGCACTTTCACATTTCGTGCTCACAGAACTTACTCGAGGAAGTATCATTTTTGTGGGATAAATGTTTCGAGTGATCACGTACATCAAAATCAGCGGTGATTAGCACACGCATGAAATAACCGTCCAAGGAAATAGCTCACGATCCTATGCTATCCCATCCTGATCATGGATTTGCACTACTCCAAGCTTCTATTATAACAAGGTTGTGGCCGTTGCTGTCAACTCCTCGATGCTGATTTACGGTTCTCATAGTCAATGCGACGAAGGCCTATTACGGTGCTCCTGCGGTATTCGCGTTAATCAAACCCACTCGGAGGTATTGTCGCATGCACGCTTAGCTCGTCCTTTTTACATGAAAGTGATAAGGCTTGATTTATGCTTGTGAGTATTATTGCTCGGATGAGGACTTGGAATCAGAAAGCTCTTGTTGGAGTCTTCGATGGCCCGTAAGAAGAGTACTGAGCTTTAGTTTTTCAATCGAATGTCAATATGGACGAATGATACCTTGCTGTGTGTCGTTTTAACGAAATATAAACGTGAACTTGATAAGTAGAGGGTAAAAAAATGGAATCGCATATGCGATTCACAGGCGTAGAAAATGAATCAAGTTTCGTGGCGTAAATCTTCGTGAGAAGCGTTTCGTGCGAATGGTATGAATTAAGGGCGAAGGCCAATTTTTAACCGACAAATAAACGAGTTTAGTTCTCGCTACAGAGAAGGCATGAAAAATGTACTAGCACCGTAAAAGAGAGACACCCGAGATTGTGGAGTAGGTAC